GAGAGAGAGAGAGAGAGAGAGAGAGAGAGAGAGTGTGTGTGTGTGTGCACGCGCACGTGCTCATGGGAGAGGAAAATGGGAAACTGAGGCAGTAAAATAGTCAATATGGTCCCTTTCATAAACTTCACAGGCACCTATTCTATCAGAATTGAGGAGAGACGTAAGCTGGCCTAACTTTTATATTAACCCCATTATCAGTGATGCTTCAGAGTCTTTAGAAGACCAACAAAATGAAACAGCATACTGTTTTTTATAATATAATATGCAATAATGTACTGTCTTCCATACTGTCTGAAGGCAGACTTTTCCTTGTCCGCCACTTTGTCTCCCTTACAAAACCATGAGTTCCTCACACACCCATTATGTATTCCTTATTCCTAGCACAGTTGTTTAAGGACAGGCTTGGGGCAGTGAGCATTGCAAAGGATGATTCATAATGGTGGAGAAGAAAAAATAAATGCTTTGAACTGACAAACAGCTGTCAGATAAACACAAACTGACATGTGAAAGCTAATAAAGAAGGTAAGAAATACTGCCTCATTGAAACAAAACTGAGGCACTGAGTCACAGATCCTATAAGAAAGCAGGAATTAATGACCCACCATCTATCTCAACAATCTCTTTGCAAAACAGCATGAGAAGAGTCCCCTGAAGAGAGGCATGTCCAGTACCTGGTGCAAACACACCAACGTGTAGAAAGCTTCGCCAGCCGCAGTGGTCATCTCTGTGTTGTGCTTTTGCAAAACCAGCATATCAAAAACCAGCTGAAATTACATAAGACTTCTTAATAAAAACATAGGATGATCATATATCCTCCAGTCCCTCCCAGTCCAAAAAAAAAAGAGGGTTGGTTGTTATTCTAGTTATTAAATCAATCTCAATTTTTTAAAAATGTTTTAAAAAAACAATCAAGCATACCTTATAGATATTGCTACTTGCTGTGGTATCTGAACAATCAAAAATATCAAATTCTCTCAATATTTACCACATCAATTTTCAAGAACACAAGAAATAGTGGATGAGAATTGTCCATGAAGAGCTATCTCCAGAAAAAACAGTGAACAGGAAGTCACGGTTTCCCGTCCCCAAAAGAATGGAAGCATTTCCACGTCTGAATGCAGAATTATGTGCACCAACGATACTTCTAAAAATAGATGATTTTCTGACCTACCACACAGACATCTTACCTTAAGAAAGTGCCGTGTTGCTAGAAAAAGTGGTGAATCTGTTTCTTGTGCTTTTGCACACTGTTCAGCTAACGGTGTCAAGGCCTCCAGGCAAAGCTGGCAAACCTCCGAACTCATTCTGATCATGAAGGTCAAGGAACAAACTAGATTGGATATACTTGATTTATAAAAGATTTTTAAAAATTATAGCTAGTATTAAATGAATGAGTGTTTCTAGAAATGAATACAGATACACAAGTAGATTGGTGGGGAATATCTTCACTGAGTTATATAAGGAAAGATTTCCAGTGTTTTTCAGATGGCCTGTAAGGGTTTTGGGTTTGAGTCTGGTGATGTATAGCTTGTTTCAGTTTACAATACATACAACTTATTAAAAAGTCATATTATTCTCTACAATCAGACCTAAGACCAAAGACCCAGCTCAGCATTATTAATGGGGCCCTGATGAAGGAGTGACTATGGAACCGGGGACCGAATGCCTCAGAGATCTGTGAAAGGAGAACAGGACAAAGCCACAAAAGAAACACAGAAATAGAGCAGTTATAGAGGTGACAGAGTTTTTTTCTTTTTTTGTTTTTGAGACGGAGTTTCACTCGTCACCCCGGCTGGAGTGCAATGGCGTGATCTTGGCTCACTGCAACCTCTGCCTCCCAGGTTCAAGCGATTCTCCTGCCTCAGCCTCCCAAGTAGCTGGGATTACAGGCGCCCACTAATGGGGTTTCACCATGTTGGCCAGGCTGGTCTCAAACTCCTGACCTCAGGCGATCCACCCACCTCGGTCACCCAAAGTGCTGATACTACAGGTATAAGCCACCGCACCCAGCCCAGGTTTTTTTTTTTTTTTTAAGAAATAAAATTGAATCACAAAAGAAAAATGAAAACTTAAAAAACTTTACAGGAAGATCTTTTTCCCCTAGGGACAAGTAACAATGATGTTCATTTAAAGGATATGATGTCATTCCTAATTCTAGGGAGTACATCAGACTTTTAAACAGATCCTCAGGAAGCTGTGGTATTTTTTCAGGAAAAATCTCACAGATAAATGTGATTAATTTGTAGTATTGATTACAAAGGGTTGGAAACTGAAAAAGAAATATTAAATATTTAGATTCTTATTAGTATCCAATTTTTATTTTCATCAATGCAATAAAATTATGTAACTGACAAGCTTCTAAATATAATGATTTCTTTAAAGCATGTGCAAGATATAGAAAACATGAAGACCGATTTAAATGTAAAAACAGGTTACAATAAAGGGCATATTTTAGTAACTACTATGAAACAAAGTAACAGACAGTAGAAACAACTATCTTCTAGATAGTTAATAAAAGCTAAGGTCAATTCCAGATATTCTGTGTTTACCCTGAATAAGTAAACAAGGCAGCCAGATTTAAAATTATTAAATAATTTGGGAGTAAAACCCTTTTGTAAATGTATTTCCATTCAAGCATGTTGGAAAAACATAAGAAGGTAATGCAAACTGTTAAGACTATGCATAAAGCATAGTATTCAGTCTTTACGCTTCCAAAAACATTTCTCCACTTGTACTATCCTAGAGAACTGAGGTAAAATTAGGTAGTCTGGTTTAACTTAACAAAAATACACACGGAAATGTTCAATGGCTTATTTGTTCAAACAAACCCTCAGTGCAAATCAGTACAGAGAGCTGACTAAGCTTCCTCATCCCGCAGCTGCTGTGTGAATACCAGGGGTCATCAGCATTGTTTCCCATCGTTAGAGACCTTCTCAAGGACAGGAGCACAGGGTTAGATCCTGCGGTGCTGGCAATCCAACAGCACTCTTATTCTTCTCATACTCACCTTCTGGGCACTTCTCAGCCTCTTCTACTGTCTTACTTCCTCCTACTCTCCTTCCTTGTCTTTATCTCGTGTGTGTGCGCGTGTGTGTGCCTGTGCGCATGCGCATGCACACACACATATACACACAAACTCCTCCTTTCCACCCATGTCCTCCTCCCCACACTTATCCTGCTATGACAACTCGTAACAAGAGACCTCCCTCCTCTACCGTACTTACGGAAGGTAGAAAAAAGTTGCCTGACCGCCAGCACACCCTCAATATTAACTGGTAAAACCAAGGCATAATCTAGTCAGAATGTGCAAAAACTTTAAAACAGCATCAGTCTTGGATGCTTACCATCCCAGTGCCTCTTGGAAAAGGCGTTCCTTTGCTCAATCCCTCAACCTGAGAATGTTCAAAAAGTATCAGAGGAAAACACTGAAACATAACTTACTTTATTCCCTTAGTGACAAATTATGAGCTAATCGAAACTGCTAACAGAATGTGGTTTCTAAAAGGACAGGCTTCTTTCTGTAGCACTCCCTGACAAACGAGTCACTAATGTGTGGGTACCTGCAGGACTCTGGAGCAGGGACAGAGACTGAGTAAAGGCCCATGTTACTGAGAAGTATGCATAAGTAACCGCTGATGAAAATGCAAAAATTGCAACTACATGTGCACTTAACAGATACAACCACTTAATTAAATCACAGATATATTCTTGTCTAAAGTACCTTTGAACTTCAAGTACATATAGTTGTATGTTCACATGGAATTACATTAATTACCTTCAAGAGATCCTGTGACATCAAGGGCAGAATTAGGTTTACTCCATACAACACAACATCTGCTGCTGACACAGATCTGTTTGCTGCTTGACCTGGCTCATGTCCTCTAAACACTTCATCTATTAAAATAAAAGGATCCAGGCTTATGGTGGTAACATTAATCAATCTTCAAAGTGTGTATTCTACACTTATGAAAATAAATTCACCCCTAGAGCCTAAATAAATCAATGAGTGAATAATAGAGAATCTGAGCTCATCCTGCCCCACCTCTGGCAAGGAGATGGAGGGGACAGCAAATCCAGGGGTGAAAAAAAGATCTGAGACCCCAGCCCTGTGTCATCCTTTTGAGTTTTATTGGAGGATGTAAGTGCTTGATACAGACGTGTTGGAGAGGCTAAAGACAGGGGACAGTCTAGAAATAAAACTAATAATCAGTGTTTTGAAACATAAAATCTACTCTACTGACATACTAGCCATAATATGAATTAAATAATTTCTATAGAAATATCCACTTGATTTCAAGTGTGTAAAATATTTCTAAGCTTAAAAGGAATGTGGGGAAATATAGAAATTAAAATGTTACATAAAAAACAAAGTAGTTTACAAAACAACAACCAATATGAAAAAGGGTTATTATTCTTAATACATATAAATTATATCCACATATAAATTAATGAAAATACTAAGACCTAAACAGATAAACATTTCTAAATAAACATTTATCAAAGCCTTGACTCTAAAGAAATACAGTCCATTCCAACTATTAATCAAGCAATATAAATTTTAAAAAGATACTTCTGATTCATTAAATTAAAAATGGTTCGTAAATGATAACATCTCATTGACGGTGAGGACAAAATGTGGTTAACTTCAAAAGCAATATATTAAGACCATTTTATCTATTAAAGATATAATCAGAAATTCACACAGGCTTGCCCACAGAAATGATCACTGCTTCACCATTTGTAAGAGCAAAAAGTGAAATATTCCTGATGTCCAATATTAGGAAACAGGTTAAATTCCAAAATGTAGAATGCCACATAGCCATTAAAAATATCATCACAAATTCTAATGATAAGGGAAAGGTTAATGCTACATTAATCAAAACGACGGAATATAAAATTGATTTTAGTTCACAGCTTGTCAGGAGTAAAACCAAAACAAAACAAAACAAAACAAAACTTGTATGTAGAGCATGACCACAAAGAAAACAGTACAAAAATAACCACAAAAAGAAATTCCCAAAATGCAATTATACAATGACTCTGATGGTGTCCAAAAGTAAGCATGATTTTTCTGTCTCTATACTTACAATTTTTTTTTTCTATTAAGAGCATGTATCTTAAAACAACAACAACAAAAAGATCAAATGAGGGAGATGTGTCTACTTAAAATCCACTTGTTAAGCCTAATGCTGAGCCTCTCCCCTGGAATCTTTGTTCTAGTTGGAAGAATCTCATTTGTTAAAGCAGGAGTCACCAAATGTTCCCTGCACATCATACTGGTAAACCTGGATTCCACCCAAAGAACCCCAGCCTGCTCTGAAGCAGAAGGCTAGTCGTAGAGCTTGATTCCCTGCTCCAGGTATTTGCCAACAAGATCAATCTCTCAGAGCCTGCAAAGGCTGGCCCGTCATGGCTCCAACAGGGCTCAATTTCTATCCATGTGCTCTGCTAAGGAGTCAAGAAAGCAGGTCAGACACTATGTTAACGAATGTCAGGGCCAGGCACAGTGGCTAACGCCTGTAATCCCAGCATTTTGGGAAGTGGACGGATCACCTGAGGCCAGGAGTTCAAGACCAGCCTGGCCAACATGGCAAAACCCCATCTCTACTAAAAATACAAAAAATTAGCCGGGCCTGGTGGTGGGTGCCTGTAATCCCAGCTACTCGTGAGGCTGAGGCAGGAGAATCACTTGAACCCAGGAGGCAGGAACTGCAGTGAGCTGAGATGGTGCCATTGGCACTCCAGCCTGGGCAACAAGAGTGAAACTCCATCTCAAAAAAAAGAGAGAGAATGTCAGATGCTGCTTTCCAGTTGCTCTTTTAATATCTCACCTAGTCCATTAACTTTGTTTTATAATATTAAAAATATTTTATATTTTGTTTCAGCTATTATCTTTATTTTTAAAATAACAAAATATTTTCTTTTTTACCATCATTTACTTTATCTGTCAATGCTGTTTCTTTATTATTTTCTACTTTGTCTTCGTTTTTGTTTCTTCTGAATTTCAACCCTATATACTCATTTTGTTTTTACCCTGATTTCGTTCTGTCTAGCTTGAGCATTATAGCATCAATTTCTTTTATTACCCTTATTACGAAATCTTTTCACTGCTTATATTTCAAAAATCTCTCCTTCAAATGCTTAGCTTTAATTGTACACAATTTGTTCTTAGAATGGCAGATAAGAGAAGTGCAGCTGCACCATAAACCTCGGAGATGGTCTTCCGAATGCCTTTCATAGCCCCCCACCTTTAATATAAACGATCTAAAACATTTTACCCTTAACCCAAGAAGACTCCTAGGTCAAAAAATTTTCCAAACATATTAACGGCTATCCCTTATTGTTGTTATGAGTCCTACTGGGTCCAGGGCAAGTAGTACAGAAATTATGGTACATAAAAAAAAAACTCAGGCTGTGCTGCGCAAGGATCCTCCAGTAAGGAAGCAGAGAGGCAGTTCTGATTTCCTAAAGGGGCCTTCAAGGAGGGAAGAAGACAGAAGATTCTACAAACTGGCCAGAGCCTCACCATATTGTCTCTAAATGTTTACTTCTATTATAATCCTTCCTTTTTCAGTAGGATTATAGAATATTCTGGAAATGTGCACTGTCCCTTCTCCTTTTTCTTATTATATGCTGGCCAGTGCTGGGATCTAATGTAATACTTTAGTAGGCAGGAAACATGATGGGATCACTATTTTAGGAAAATTATTCTGAAAATAAGACAAATCTGGTAGTATGTCAGAAACAATGAGGAACCTTAGTCAACATATAGATTTCTAGAGTTAGTAGGTCTTGGATGGGGCCTGACTTGGGGCATAGAATAAGAATCCATGAAAAAGATGATACTATGTCTAGAAATGAGAAATTTGAAACAATGAGCTGATTTATGATACACAAGGATAACCATGACAGTAAATCATCTAAACATATACATGTTTTGGCTTTGGGTCTTAACATTTAGTTACAGATTCCTCTGGGTACAAGGCTCTTAACCTGGGGTCCTGACACACCTGCAACATTTATAGAAGAGTTTCCAAGAGTCCATGAACCAGCTAATACTGTATTAGTGAGAGGTTAAGAATGCTGGGCCCAGTGGCTCACCCCTGTAAAATCTCAGCACTTTGGGAGGTTGGGGGAGAAGAACCGTTTGAGCCTGAGGTCGAGGCTGCAATGAGTGATCACACCACTGCACTCTAGCCTGGATGACAGAGGGAGACCCTGCCTCTCAAAGCAACAACAACAAGGAAAAAAAAAAAGTTAAAAACTCCAGGACTGAGCAGCACTGACCTGAAGTTAGAAAACTTGGGTGAGAGGCTGGGCCTAAAAACAGACCACAGAGAATTTACTATGGAAGAGTGAATTTGTGCAGTGCTTTTCAGACTATCTCACCTTAGTACCCCTAGTTAACAGCAAAAAAGAATAAAGAATAAACCTTATACATTGTGAGGTTGATGGTACCTAGCTCAGAGCAGATATTAGAAAAACCGTGGTCCAAGAATAAAAAAATGAAAAACCATGGTCCGGTGAATAAGGAATATGAAAAAATTAAGGAAACAGAACAATCTCAAGGATTGGGATAAATAAGTCAAGTGGGACATTACAGCACCCAACCTAGAGAACCTTACAAGGAGGAAGTCAAAAATGCCTACTATCATACATGTGTGCACAATATATAATAGGAGAGTCTAGATAGGATTCATTTTTCTCTTAAGAAACAAGATCTACTTTGCTTGAAGGCAAAGTTAGCAGTGGGATAAGAGGCGAGTGAACTGTATAGCACTGAAACTATACAAATAAATGAGGTTTAAATTACTGATCAGGTTCTCGCCTGTAACAGCAACTACATTTTACTTACTGATCATCAGACACAATGCTAGGCACCAAAGATACTTTACAGCTGATCCTTCAATCATGATGAAAGGTATTTATTATCATACCCATTTGACAAACTAGCAAAGGCACAGGTAGGCTAATCAACTCCCCCCACGTCATGCTGTAGTGAGCTACTAGGCTAGGTCCTCAAAGTGTAGCCTGTTAACTCCGAGACCAGTGCTTCCTACCCCAACAGGGCTTTCCAAGCTGCACTCTGGAAAGTGCTAGGGTGTGCTGGGATGGCCACCTTGGGGGACATGGAGAAGTGATTAGTCAATAAAGTGTAGCTTTGAAGAGACTGGCATCTGGAGTCATAGGCTGGGATTTGAATCCCAGTCCTGGCTAAGTATCTGTGGCCAAGTGACTTAATCTCTCTGTGCTTCTGTTTCCTCAACTACAAAGTGAGAATAACAATGGGATCGACTTCATATCATTGTAAGAGGTAAGAATAGGGCTTGGAAGTTAGTAAGATCTCAATGAATAAGAGATACTCTTTCTATTATTCTTACAAGAGGAAAGCCAAGCAGAAGGGCCGCTGGTCCCCGCCCTCACTTCAACCACAGAGATCTTCTTTCATTTATTCCATAAATTAAACTTCCCCCTGTCACTTACAGAAAACAATTCTTTGCTTTAATAAAAAGGAGGACAACAACGAAGTTTAAAAACCATCATGTTACACTTTACCTGTATCACTGAAATCTATGAATTCTTTTGACAGCAGGTTAGTAAGAAGTTCCATGATGAGAAGCAGGTCTTGGTATTGCTCTTCTTCCGCTGTAACATCTATTCTTTGCCGCCCTAAATTATTCTTAGAATACACTTGCAACAAAGTAAGGCAGGCTTCATATAAGTTCATAGCTTTGGACTGCAAAAAAATACATAAATTATGCTACTCGGTAGAATCTATTTGAGAAACAAACACTGACATTAAAGAAATTCAAAAATATAATCTAGATACATTAACTCCGAATTCCAAGAGTAGCAATTAATTCTTGTTTTAAACTACATTAAAACAACAATAATTTCTAAAAAAAAAAAAGCATATATTAAGAAAATACTATTTTTAAAATATTACTCCTTTTCTAACAATAAAATTTTAGGACAAGAATTTATATTCAGGTGCAGCAAACCACCATAGCACACGTATACCTAAGTAACAAACCTGAATTTTATTTTTTTAGAAGAAATTTTTAAAAAATTTATATTCATTCAACACGACTTTTTCAGATTTATAAGTATTTTTTTTAATCTTTTTTTTCTTTTTGAGTCTCTTCAGCCTCTTGATTAAACATTTTTGAAAAGTCTTTTGGAAGAATAAAAATATTATTTAGGATAACACTAATTAAATTTGAAGTAAAGATCTATTATTTTATTATAGCTTTGAAGAGTTTTAATCCTGAGGGGATAAAATTGGAAAGTGCTTACCTCTCCAAGATAGCATATCTGTTTATGTGCAACTTCAACAAAAACTTCTATAATAAGATTGACAGTCTCTGGGGTATTTTTGTAAACTTCCATCAACCCAATGCAATTGGTAAGAAAGTCCATTAAAAAATTAAACAGAATAGCTACGTTGTCAATCTGGGTAGCCTCAGCAATGCCACACAGGGCCTCCAGTGTGGCAGTGATTTCCTGCTTCACTTCCTCTTGCTGACACATCTGCTGGAAGTTTTCTTGGTTTATCACTCTTAAGAATCGCTGCTGAAGTGGCTGAAGAACCTATAAAAATAAAGCAGGCATTTTCTTAAAGTTCTGTTCACATGCTTTGTTTCCTCAGCTTAGATAAATGCTCACTTTTCAAAACATTTCTAATGGTTGGAAGCAGGACAAGCACATAACAAAGAATACCTAAACCAGACTTCACACTCCCCATTTTGAGGGTCATCCTAACTTCCGGCTCATGTAAAGGACAGAAAACCCAAGGTATGGAACATAAATTTCTCCCTGCCACTCAAAGAATTCTGTCATTTCCCTCCATCTGTTCCCAAGTAATTAGCCAAAAAGGAAAAAACAAAGATAAACTTTATTTACAAAATCAGACAGCAAACCACATTTGGCCCACGGGCTGCAGCTTGCCACCCTCTACAAAGTGAAGCCCAACAAAGCTCTCGCCTGTTTTTTCCTTTTTCTGTCATAACTTCAGATAATCAGTCCTGCCCTGTATAGAAGAGTACTCATATTCAAGAGGATAGTATCTTAATTCTACTTAAAGCTGTCCATATGATAATACAATCATTTAAAATAAAAATACTTAGTCAGTCTGGTTTCCCCTGGATTTGAAGTCACAAACAACTGCCTAATTCCATTACTGTGCCCCTTCTCAAACACTAAGCGCCCTCCAGACACAAGGACTGCAGACTGGCAACCTACACACACACTGGCAACTCTTGGTCCTTGAGTTAAAGCCCATTAAATAATGTGCCCATGGTTGTTGTTATGGGTCAAACTGTGTCCCTCAAAAACTCCTGTGTGGAAATCCAAACCCCAGGACATGACCTTATTTGATAATAGGGTTGGCCAGGCATGGTGGCTCATGCCTGTAACCCCAACGCTTTGGGAGGTAGAGGTGAGCGGATCACCTGGGTCAGGAGTTCGAGACCAGCCTGTCAATGTGGTGAAACCCTGTCTCTACTAAAAATACAAAAATTAGCCAGATGTGGTGGTGAGTGCCTTCAATCCTAGCTACTCGGGAGGCTGAGACAGGATAATTGCTTGACCCAGGAGGTAGAGGTTACAGTAAACTGAGATCACACCGCTGCAATCCAGACTGGGCGATAGAGTGAGACTCCATCTCATTAAAAAAAAAAAAAAAGAAAGAAAGGCTGGGTGTGGTGGCTTATGCCTGTAATCCCAGCACTTTCGGAGGCTGAGGCGGGTAGATCACGAGGTCAAGAGATCGAGACCATCCTGGCCAACATGATGAAACCCCGTTTCTAAAAATAAACAGAATAGAATAGAATAAATAGAATAGAAAATAGGGTTGTCATAGATATAATTAGTTGATGAGGTAATACCAGAATAGGGTGGGCCCCTACTTCAATATAATTGATATAGAAAGGGCAAGTGTGGATGCAGACACACACAGGGGGAACATGTGAACATTGAAGGCAAGGATCCAAGGATCAGGGTGATGTGTTTACAAATGAAGGAAGGCCAAAGATGGCCAGCAAGCTACCGGAGGCTACAAATTTTCCCTCACAGCCTTCAGAAAGAACGAGTCCTGCTGCCACCTTATAGTTTGGACTTCTAGCCTCCAGAAATAGGAGAAAACAAATTTCTGTTGTGGTATTCTGTCACAGCAGCCCCAGGAAATGAATATCATGGTTAATATGCATCTCATTCAAGACAGGAGAATGTTTCCCTGATCCCTAATGAAGATTTAATAAACCAGTCCATGCTCTCAACTGAGTTAGGAAAAATGTGCCTAAAATGCAGCACACTTGATAATATTCAATGTCATCACATACAGGCAGGTACAGAAAAATTGTAAGATAACATTTGTAAAACAAGAAGCTTCAATCCATTAATTAGGAGAAAAAAATATCAGAAAAGCCATGACTGGGTCAGGTGCAGTGGCTCATGCCTGTAATCCCAGTACTTTGGGAGGCTAAGGCGGGCAGATCGCTTGAGTCCAGGAGTTCAAGACCAGCCTAGCCAACATGGGAAAACCCTGTTTCTACTAAAAATACAAAAATTCGCAGGACATGGTGACATGAGTCTGTAGTCCCAGCCACTTGGGAGGCTGAGTCAGAAGAATTGCTTGAACCCGGGAGGTAGAGGCTGCAATGAGCTGTGATTGCACCACTGCATTCTAGCCTGGGCGACAGAGTAAGTGAGACCCTCTCAAGAAAAGAAGAGAAGGGAAGAGAAAAGAAAGGAAAGGAAAAAGGGAAGGGAAGGGGAAGGAAAGTGAAGGGAAGGGGAAGGGGAGGGGGAAAGGAAAGGGAAAAGGGAAGGAAAAGGGAAAAGGGAAGGGAAAGGGAAAACGGAAAGGAAAAGAAAAGGCTATGACTGATATGTTTATGTCTCCATAGACTCTTTTATGGCAACGCATAGGTAAAGAAGCTACAAAGTTACACAAAAGGGTATAATCAAAACAGAAGGCACCATTACCTCTGTCCAATACTGCTGTTTGGTTTCTGTGTCCATATGTGCAAAACCTCCTAAGACTAGAGCCTTCATCAATGTCCTCTGCACAGGACTTGACAAGAAATTAAGAGGTGGGCTTCGGCTTGCAAACTGCTTAGCTAAGTTCCACCAGTTCTCACACTGAATTACTAAGTTTGCCCTGCAGGTAGAAATAACAAAACATAAGATGTATTACCTATGTATTACTTATTTATTCATATATACATATGAAGAAAACAAAAATCAAAAATAACTAGATTTAATTAATTTTTAAAGCAAAGTACAGTAAACTTAGTATAGGCTTTGAAGTCACAAAGGCTTACATGCAAATCACACTAGTTGTTTGGCAATGTAAAATTATTTAATCTCTATCAATCATCACTTCTCTATAATCTGCAAAACAGGAATAACAACAGTCTCATGGCTGAGACTGATATAGAAGAGTACATAGTAAATTATAAGAATTCAATAAATCAGCCAATCACAATGGTAATAATAACAATGATATTCCTATATAGTAAGAACAATGAAAACATTTCTATTGTTTAAGGAAGCACTAAAAATTTACTTTCCAACATTAAATTTTAAATATCAGTATTTGATTTTTAAAATGGGGATAAGATGGTTAAAAATTCAAATGAGCATATTCCACATAAAAGTGTCTGTAACACTACAAATTACTAATGTGTTATTCATAGGGCTTTGTTGCCAAATCCTGAAGGAGTCAATGCAATGCTCAATTATAAGATGGGAAAGCTCCATTTGCATTTGTAATAATAGTGTGACATAGTTTTTAAAATGCACTACTCAAAAATGTATGCTCTATCTGGAATTAAGACTATGTAACCATTTGCCAGTTGAAAGGACTACACTAAAAAGCGAAAAAGAATTTCTCACCCACACACATACACACACAGTCAGCCTCCAACAATGGGCTAACCTTTCTCTTCTTTCCACCAAAGTGACAAGGAGCTGCACAGTGTCATTCGCAAGGTCCTGCTCACTACTCCAGACTGAGAGGTTACTGATGACTTTTTGTAAGAGGTAGCCAATTATCCACTGAGAACCCTCTGTATCTGCTCCAAACGCCGTACTGAATGGCAGACTTATCTTAAGAGAGGAAACAAATTTTTTAAGGTAAGCAAGAAAGATCAACTGAAGAAACCCAGAGAAAAATCAAACAAATTACTATCTAATCTAAAGTAGTGCTTACTTCACATCAACTTTATGCATGTACTAACATTTCCATAGGTCAAAAAAAAAGACATCCTCAATCCGCTCACATTTTCCAGCGTGATTTTCCCATCAATTTCTGTTATTCCCAACGCATTAAAAAACATAATATTTAAACCAAATACAAAAAAGCATAATCTATTCCCAAATAATAATCTGTTATCTTCAACAGTGGTTAAAATAAACTAAATCAAATGATGTGCCCTAAAAAACACATTAAAACAGCATTCCAGTCACATAATTCTCTTCAACGTGGAAAATGTTGAACTGCTCTTAAACAGTTACATTTTGACAAGAAAACCACCAAGAGAAATGTTCCTGCTTCTATAACTGCCATCATCATAAATCCAAATGAAGTTTTAACAGTTTTACATTCTGACCTGATCATACAGTTTTTCATCCACCAGGAGGTAAGTCTTCGCCCAGCGTTTTAAAAACCAAACAATATCTTTGCCCATCTGGGGACTTAGTAGGTGAGTGAGATCTGCTCTTATTGCTCGAGATTCGACTTCTGAAACTCTGAGAATGGCAGACAACAGCCTGTAGGTATAAAACAGAAGTCATTTATTCTTTCACTTATTTAGTGGCCGTCTAACCATATTTTTTTTTCCATAAAAGTCCTTTTTTGTCTTTAAATTATCTGGATTTAGGTCAGGCTACACTTGAAAATTTCATCAGTAGAGTTTTAGACAAGTGTCCCCATATTATTTCTGCTCTTTTACAGAGTAGGAGACAAGATAAAGAAAAGGAAGAGTCAACACTAGAGACATCCTTCTGCCGAAGTTGTGACCACATGTGCGAATCTCAGCATTACTAGCTAAAGAGAATTTTCAGATTCAAAATTTTCAGATTTTCAGGAGAAATACATCAAATTAAATCTTCAGAGCACATGCCAAATTCTTTTAACTTGTACTACTTAGCATCACTACTTAAAACTACCCTGTTTTTTTTTATATCATGGTCATGTTACAGTACAAGATCTAGGAGTTATCTAGAAAGTTTTGAATATTAAGCCGTGTCTAAATCTGGTACTTCCTAGTACATTTGAGTCTTCATGGTATTTTTAAATAAAATTCTTGCTAGAAAGATTACCTGTGTAAGCACACATAGTGTCCTTTCCTACATCACATAATTCACATGGCTGTGTGGTGTTAATCACATAGCATGACATGCAGACAAGTAGAAATGCCTTTGTTGGGGAGGGCACATAATCAGACATGATATATATTTAACTTGACGTTAGCCAAAAGGCAAGGAAGGAAAGGATGTAATAGAAAGAACCCATTATATACCAATGAAGGATTCTAATCACTCAAGTTTGGCTTATGCTCCTTTCCTAGTGCTCTCGGGAAGCCTTAAATGATCTTATCATGAGATCATACAAACGGGTCAGTTCTTTACCCCACTGGATGGCCCACTGTCACTGCCCTTACCTTCCTGAAGCCTCCCTGGGGTCACTGCCCTTCCTTCCCTCATCTAGCCATCTGCTTCCTCCTTCCCAGTCTTTATGGCAGCATCCTCTTCTCCTGACCTTCTTCTTTAAATCAGGAGGTTTATAACGTTCCACCCCAGAATCTCTTCTTTTTCTTCTTTTTGAGACAGAGTTGTTCTCTCACCCAGGCTGGAGAATACCCAGGCACAATCACGGTTCACTGAAGCCTTAACTTTTTGGGTTCAAGGGATCCTCCTGCCTGAGTCTCCAAAGTAGCTGGTACTACAGCCACCACACGAGGCTGATTTAAAAATTTTTTGTAAAGACAGGGTTTCACCATGTTGCCCAGGCTGGTCTTGAACTGCTGAGCTCAAGCAATCCTCCCACCTTGGCCTCCCAAAGTGTTGGGATTACAGGCATGAGCCACCAATGCCCTGCCTTCTTCACTGTCTGCACGCTTCCTATACCACCAGCATTTAAACTTTAAAAAAAAATTTTTAGAGGGTCTATGAACAACAACAAAACAAAACCCCAACAATCTCACAACACATTAATACATTTAAGTTGTAGATATGTCAAACTTTCTGGTAAGATTAAATCATTTTAAATATCTATTCCAGCCTAACAAAATTTGAAATAAAATGGTTACATTAACACTTTAAATTTAGGCACTGGAGTTTTATTATCATAATGTTCTGATATCCAATATCATCCATTAAAAATATAAAACAAATTTTTCTTATTTTTATTTCAATTTCATTTCCCCATAGAACATCATCCTAATGTAATAAATTTTTACGTTCCAGCATTTTATTCATCATACAACATACTCTGATACAAATGTCTACATACTGAAGGATAACTTTTAATCATTTTCAATGATCATAAGACCATAAGTGTTTAAAAATGTCTTCTGGATTGAGTTATCATTATGATACTTAAAACTACACAATTGAGCAAAACAGTATAAATTTAAATAAATTATTAAACATAAATAATTAAACACAAAAATAAAAGTGTATGTATCTCTTAATGTGATTAGCTTAGTAGGGTTTGTTCCCCACTTAGTTCATGTATCTTTGAATGAACATTACCTATTGCCAGAAGAGCGAGTTGAGCATTTGAGGCCTGTTTTTCCTTTTAATCTATGTAAGTACTGAGAAAACTTCATAAGTAGAACCTATTTTTAAAATAGCAGAATCACCCAATTATCTGAATTTCTTCCAAGTTATATGCCAAAAATCACAGAGATCTACCAACAAAAATTATTTTTAATCATCTCTTAGTTGACGTGATCAGGTCTCCTTCATGTCATTTAATGTAAAGGTCTGAAACCTGCTAACTGTCCACTCACTAGTGACTTAGTCACTTACTGTGTCAATGCCACATCGTCTGCAACTGTCCCTCTCCTCTGTAGTGTTTTACACGCCTGCCAATCTACATGTTCAGAGGTAGGAGTGAGAGCTTTGGCCTTTCTTTTGTAAAGTGGAAGAAACATCAATGAAAGAGCCACTCAACCTGAGTCAGGCAGGTCCAGGGGAGGTGCCCAGGGGCCTTTCTTCTACCTCAGAAATCATCTTATGACCCAAGAGCCTTTCTCCATTTCACTCCATGACTACAAAAGAACATGCTTCCTAACTTGCCTTGTCACCCTTTAAATTGATTATCCATGCAATAGTAACTCTGAAACAATTTGATCACTTCACTTCTCTACTTAAATCCTTGTCAGCATTTTTACTCCCACTTCATCAGCCCCACTCACAGCACCCTCCCTGCCTCTCCACCCTCATCCACCCATGAAGGCCATCATTCTGCCCTCCTGGGTCACACACCAGCCAAACCTTAAGTTCCTCTCACTTGAGCAGGGCTCTCTTACGTCAGAGGCATCGAACCAGACTGAATCCATCTTGGGTGAGGGCTAGGAAAATGAAGCTGGGGCCTAATGGGCTGTATTCCCAAAAAGTGAAGCATTCCCTAGTCTCTAGAAGTTTATAGTTAAAGGAACAAATTAGTAATGTTTACTAAACAGACCCAGACTTGGGAATGTCCAGATATTCTAACATCTGGAGAACAAAGGCATTCCTAATTTTGCCTTAGAGATAATAATATTGAGTCTTGCAAAATACAGTAATTAAGAAAACGAATCCTTTATCACAAACCCTTGTAGCAGAGCATCTCTCCATGATCTTTTCTTATCCTATATACATATATACAGCATTGTGCCTATGGTGGACGTGTTCCTCCTCTTTCAGGAACTTCCTGCTCTATGGAGTAGCCATTCTTTTATTCCTTTACTTTCTTAATAAATTTGCTTTCACTTTATAGACTCACCCTGAATTCTTTCTTGCGCAAGATCCAAGAACCCTCACTTGGGGTCTGGATTGGGACCCCTTTAGTGTAACATTACTACTTATGCTAGTGTCACTGCCTGAAATACTCTTCTGTTTCAAGAAGCCCCTCTGGCTCTCCTCTGCCCATATATTAGGGGAACCAGGAGCTCCTATGACACACTTACACACTTCTAACTGTATCCTTAGATCCCGGCACGCAGGGGAGTTGAAGATTCAACTGACAAAAACATCAAAATATTTTCAAATTGTTGATATTCCAAGATTAATATCCTATTCCTACTTCAATTTCTTAAAGCACTGTACCTACAAATATATTCCAGACAGCATTCAGTTTCTTATATTTTCCAAGTCAATCCTGAATTACATTTGTATATCATAAATCAAAAGGGAGCACAAAAAAATCAAACAGAGCTTTCTTTGACTTCTTACAACCTCCAGTATATTCACTCTGAGCAACCATCATCTTTCTCTTGGATTACCGCAATTTGTCTCCTAACTGGTCTCCCGGCTTCCATCATTTACTTGAGTTTTGGGGGTTTGTTTTTTTGTTTGAGACAGGGTCTCACTCTGTCACCCAGGCTGAAGTGCAGCGGCGCAATATCAGCTTACTGCAACCTCCGCCTGCCGGGTTCAAGTGATTATCGTGCCTCAGTCTCCTGAGTATCTGGGACTACAGGAGGTGGGCACCACCATGCCCGGCTACATTTTTGTATTTAGTAGAGATGGGGTTTCAGCATGTTCCCCAGGCTGGTCTCAAACTCCTGACCTCATGAGCCAGCCGCCTTAACCTCCCAAAGTGCTGGGATTATAGGTGTGAGCCATCACACACAGCCTCCACATTTACTCTCAATGCAGCAGAGGAAATTTCTTAACATGTAAGTTACTCTTCTGCTCAAAACCCCACAATGGCATAGCGCTTCATTCAGAACAAAAGCCAAAGACGTTACAAAGGCCTAAGACCTTATCTATTTTCCTAACTCTCATCTCCTACAAAATTCCACCTCACTCTGCTCAACCCATCACAGTATTCTTGCTGTTCGTGAACACGCCAAGCAGGCCCAGGGCCTTTGCATTCACTGTTTATTTTGCTTGGAATGCTCTCCCTCCAGACACCTTCACGGCCTCCCTTACCAACCTCACATCTCTGCTCCCAAGTCACTTTCTAAACGAAAGTGACTAATAACAACTACAATAATCCCTACTGATACTCTCACTCTAGCTTTTTACCTGTCACATTTGCTGTCTTCTAACATACGCATAGAGCTCTTTTACAAAGAGCTCTAAAAGAGGAGTGACTTTTATCTGCTTTGTTCAAATACCCAAAGGCTGCCTGTTACGTAGTCACTAGTCAATAATTATTTCTCAAATGACACCTGTTTTAAGAAATATGAGCTGCTTTTTTAGTGGAACAAGAAATGCTTCTACCATATGTTTTTAAATTTCATATTAATTCTTTGGATTAAAAACGTGGTGACTCTTTTTTTTTTTTTTTTTTTTCGTTCCAATCCTCCATAGTCTGTGCTCTCAAATAACAAAATGTTTTGCTCCCACACTAACACCTGGGACTGACAAAAATTGAAAAAGCACTTAAAATACAAGGAAAGCATTCCTGATGCTACTGCCCAAGCAAAAAATATAACAATATATGACATGACAGCAACCTGAAATGAAGTGCTTTTTAAATTAACATTCACCACCAACCAAACCAGAGCAAAGCATTGATTTCCAGAGACACTAAATCGAATGGCTGTGGTAATTCTAAAAGGAAGATATCATTTTTTCAATAAAGGATGATTTTATTTCAAACAAGAGAATGCAACAATAAAGGAAATAAATTCCCCAACATTTCCTTGGCATCAGCTTAATATTTCAACTATTTTTTTAAAAATCACATTTTCTATACCATGTTTGAATGATATTCATATATTTTTGCATATGAAAAAGAATAAAGGGGACAGCATCCTGTTTGATAGAAGTTACTGGTTTGCAGCTGACAAAAACCAATGTTATTATCATTACTGACGTCTCTGCTTGCAACCTAAATTTAAAATAAAGTTAAAGATACTGAAATTTTAAATGTTTTCAAGTCCACTTTTAGGAACTTTTTTTTTTTTTTTTTTTTTGAATTGGGTTTTCCTTTTTTCCCAGGCTGGAGTGCAGTGGCCCTCCCCCCCCCGGGTTCAAGCGATTCTCCTGCCTCAGCCACCTGAGTAGCTGGGACTACAAGCGCGTGCCACCACACCCAGCTAATTTTTCTATTTTTCGTAGTGACAACAGGGTTTCACCATATTGGCCAGGAGAGTCTCAATCTCTTGACCTCGTGATCTGCGTGCCTCAGCCTCCCAAAGTGTGGGGACTACAGGCGCGAGCCACAGTGCCCAGCAAGAACATTTTAATACAGTTTACTCCTCCTTATTTTCACCATTAAGAATTAACAAAAATTTTGCCATTACTATTAGGAAGATTAAAGTGAATCATCTCATTCGAGGTATTCTCCTGTCTTATAACAGGGCCCTTAAGTTTCACATTTAGAATAAAGATTTCCATTTTATGATATATGAATTATCTGTCATCTATCATTTTCCATAAGAAAGCCACCAAAACGTCGTTTTAGTTTTTATGAAATAATACTTGTTAAAGTTCATCTGGTTCCCTTCATTTAGGGTGCCTGTATATATGAGTATTGCTCTCTGATAGACAGGCGTTATGTTCATAACTACATTCAATGTCCCTTCCAAGTCTCGTTGTATTCAGAATTATTTGACACTTGCTTTCTTCAGCACTGGGTATAGCTGTCAACTCTCACTAGAGTGCCATTGCCTAAATATATTGAGTACTTGCCATCCTTGTGTATTTCAAGGCTTCTCCAAGTTTTCGTTTTTTTCATGTATCAGACTTACAACGTGCCTATCACTCCAGTCATCTACCCGTCAACTCAGAATTTATAAAACAGTATAAAAATTACAAGAGCACAGCTATAGAGTTTATATTACCTAATCACAGAATCTGTTCTGTTGTACCCTGGGATGGAAGAAGCCTTTTCTCCTGGAGATCCCAAAATTTGAAGTGTTGTATTAATGTCAACTTCAGATGAATGCTTAATGGAATATTCCATTATTTCTGGAGGTATTAGCGGAGTCTCTCCCTGAGTATCATCAGCTAAGAGGTAGCCTTCAGTTTAAAAAAAATTAAAAATGAACACTTAACAAATCTACATTTATCAAATTGTACTATAAATGTTTTCAGTTTTATTTGATTTATATACATCATATAAATTGATGTAAAAGTAAATTATAAATGTTAACCTGTTAATTTCAAATTTATGTGAAAAAACTTTCTATGTCTCAGATAAGTAACCCTCAAAAATACAGAAAAGGACAAATGTTTTATTCACCAATTTTATAATTCATAGGGGCTTTTTAATCTACTACCTTAAGTAATTTTCAGTACTATATTCTGTAAAGTTAATTAAAAAAAATTCTGCTACTATCTATATTAGAAACCAGTATTAGAGAATTCATTTTCAGAATTTTTTTTTTCAATTTCAATATTTTTTTCCTCATCATTTAAAATATGGAAACACTAAGAGTATGGTGGTCAAGAAAGATGATCCTAAGAGTCAGACTGCCTAGATTTACATTCTGGCTCTGAAAATTAACAGCAGTGTGACAATGGGTTAGTTTCTTATACTCTCAAAGACTCAGCTGCTTCATCTATTCGTTGGGGATAATGACGATGATGATGGTAACAGTAATAATGGCGAGCAACGCTAATTCACTGGGTAGAATGAGATCTATAAAAGATTTGGTATGCAACAGGCACTGCTTACATATTAGCCAGTATTTTAAAAAAATGCATCCGTAGTTCTATGACAGAAAATAGCTCTATCCAGATTTTATCCAATATTATATATAAACTATTGTTTTTAAGATTGAAGCTTCTTTTAAGGCTTAAATTGCTCAGCTGGCAATTACGTTTTAAAAAGAAACCACCAACCAACCTGTAACTAAAATAAGCCAGTGAATATCTTCATAGAGATCATCAAGCATTTTGTTGTCAATAGTGCTTGAACCCGGTGAAGCAAGTAATTGTTGCTGATGTTGTTGTAATTGACCATGGAGCCTTGTTACTCTTTCTTCTAATAAACTAAAAGAGGAGAAAACAGTGGCTTCATAAAGTTCAATAAGCAAAGACATGGATCAACTTAAAACTTCCATGTATTAGACAACACGAATTAAATGTTAGCATAAAAACACATATACAAAAACATTATAGTACACAACTGTTCTCATAGCATTATAGGAATTATGATTTATTTTTTATAACATAGAATTAAAACACTGCTTTACAAACAATCAAGGTTTACAACAGGCATTTGAAAACTGGTTATTCCAAGTTTTTACTGATATGGGTCAAATCATTTCTCATACCATGTTTTCCATAATCTCTCTGCCATCTATGCTGTAGTGCCTGGGCTCCAAATGTCTAAGCCAAGGAACGCAATCATGAGTATGTTTCTGTCCATTTGTTCCAGTGTGCTGGGACACGGGGTGGGGGTGTTTAAAGTCTTTAAACACTTTAAGTGTTCTCCAGGGAATTGTGAATAGAGAGTATTTGCTCCATGGGGTTTCTTTGGACTGTGTGTACCTTGTCAGAAGAGGTATACAGTGTTCTGCAGCAATTCTTCCTAGCATTCCTACACTGGCCAGTTGATCAGAAAACTGGTCTCGATCATCCTCTTGAAGTTCACTTATTTCTTCCTCCTCACGAGAGGCCACACCATTGGCAGTCTATTGCAAGAGAAAGAAATAAACAATGAGGAACTGCACTACCTATTCAACGTGCAATTCTGTGGCTCCATAACATAGTTTAGCACTGCATAGCAAAAGGAGAGCGGGACACAGCCAACCTTTGAGAACAGCTAACTTCTAACAATGCTGACAGCCATGGTAGTTATCAAAAAGGGAAAACATACAAGAGAAAGAAGTACAGGAATCACCCCATGGTGATCAATACAACTAACTGCACACCCAAACCCACCTCCCACATGGGATAATTGAATTTCTGTCACTCAAACGACCGGACACCCATGGTCCAAATTATTCATATCTCTTGACAGCTAGACAGAAAGAGGTGGGTAACTGAAAATTGAAAAGGAATAACTATAAGCAGCATCCCACATAATAAGAACTCAGAGAATAAGGACCACTTCTGCTCCCAGCAAATCTTCTGAGGGAAACCATCCTAAATTTCTGGTATTATATAATGAATAACATGGTGAATATAGCCTATGATGAAATAGACTGTTAATTATCATCTTGCTTAAAACTCACCAAATTCCTTGTGCCATCTGGAGCAGCTAGGTGGCACTGAATATAGGAATTGAAAACTTGAACTGCATGTTGCGTAAAAAAGCCTTTATGGAAATGTTTGTCATCTTGAACCAAAGTTAGCCAGGACTCCAACAATTTATCATATGCTTCCATGTATACCATGTCATCTTTATCAAGCTAAAAAAAAAAAAAAGAACATTCATAAAACAAATGTCCAGAGAACAATAATGGGCATTATAACAAGAGTCACATAAATACATATAAATAGTTTAAGTTTTTCCTTTAAGAGAGCATTAATAAACTATCACCTATTAAAGAGGGATTTTATGGTACAGTTGATCCTCATTTTTTGTAGCTTCCGTATTTACAAATTCACTTCCTGGCTACAGTTTATTTGTAACCTCAAAATCAACACTCTTGGTACTTTCATGATCACTTGCAAATACGCATGCACATAGTGCCAAAAAATCTGAACCACCATATTTCCAGCTGACATTAAACAAAGTAGCACTCTCCTTTCTTGTTTCAGTCCTTGCTCTATAAGATGAAACAGCAAAATGTTTCCAGATAAAGAAGGAATCACTAGGTTCCATAATGTATTTTAGTTATATGAGTCCTAAGTATCCATGAGCTAACTGCAAGATAGAATGAGTTTTATTCTATTTTCTTTAACATAAATATCCTTTTTCTTCTCAGATCTCTAAGAAAGAATAAAAGACACAAAAACAAATCAATGGTTTTTTGGTTTTGGGCCGGTTTTTTTTTGAGACGGAGTTTCACTCTGTCGTCCAGGCTGGAGTGCAGTGGCAGGATCTCAGCTCACTGAAACCTCCGCCTCCTGGCTTCAAGCAATTCTCCTGCCTCAGCCTCCTGAGTAGCTGAGATTACAGGCACACACCACTATGCCCAGCTATTTTTTATATTTTTAGTAGAGACAGGGTTTCACCATGTTGGTCAGCCTGGTCTCGAACTCCTGACCTCAGGTGATCCACCCAAGTCGGCCTCCCAAAGGGCTGGAATTACAGGCATGAGTCACCACACCTAGCCACAAATCAATGTTTATAAATAGAGCTGTACAAAAAAGAAACTCAAAAACTAACCCCTGATGGTATACTATAAAGATTCCACTATTAGTCACTGTCTCCTGTGTGAAGCTCTGTTTGGAAGAGATTTTTTTCTTTTATTTTACTTAATATTTAAGAAAATTCCTCTAAGGAACATTCTTTTTTTGGCATGAGATCCTATTAAAGAACTGTGTCTTCCTTCCCACGTCAAGACGTTCAAATCAGAAAATGAAAACCAACCTTATTACCTATAGATGAGCTTCCTCCTCATTTCTCCTGTTTTGACTGCTCTTTTCTCCAGTTTTGACTTTCCACTCTGACTTAATCTGGGCTGTCTTTTGCAAGCTTTAAAGAATTATTTCACTTTCAAGGCTCTTTTCACAAGCCACCAGAAATCTTGTACAGAACAAAGAGGGTCAGGAAAGAATTAAGTCATCTCTAATATTGTTTCACTGCTATGCCCATTTACTTTTCTTCCTTCTCTCTAGGATATAGCCACTCTTCCAAAGCCTGCCAGATTGATGGAGGAGCAGCTCTGAGGAGTGGCCTAAATGTAGAATGAGACACCACTGGAAGAGCTGATCAAAAAACAAACTTAAGCCCTTAAGAATGTCTACTAAACAGGAGAGTGACATGATGAGATACCTATATGGTGTGTATATGTGTGTGCATATGTATGTTGCCCAGGCCAGTCCTAAACTCCCAGGCTCAGGCTGGGCGTGGTGGCTCATGCCTGTAATCCCAGCACTTTGAGAGGCTGAGTTGGGTGGATCACTTGAGGTCAGGAGTTACAGACCAGCCTGGCCAACATGGTGAGATTTAAAAATACAAAAAAATAGCTGAGTGTGGTGGTGCTTGCCTGTAATCCCAGCTACTTGGGAGGCTGAGACAGGAGAATTGTTTGAACCCAGGAGGCAGAGGTTGTAGAGAGCCGAGATCATGCCACTACACTCCAGCCTGGGCAAAAGTGAAACTCTGTCTCAAAAAAATAAAATAAAATAAAAAACTAAAAAAAAATTCCCAGGCTCAGTGATCCTCCTGCCTCAGCCTCCAGAGTAGACTCCAGAGCAGACTACAGGTGCACACCATTGTGACTAATTTTTCAATTTTCTTGAAGAGATGGGATCTTGCTATGTTGCCCAGGCTGGTATTGAACTCCCAGACTCAAGTGATCCTCCTGTCTCAGCCTCCAAGTAGCTGGGATTACAGGCATGTGCCACTGTGCCTGGCCCACATGATGATTTATATATAAGCATGTTTGCTGCAGCATTATTTAAAATTGTGCAAATAAACTTACTAAACCATTTTTTCATTGTTTTACATTAAAACACAATTTTTGACACTGATTAAGCATATAAAAAATGCTCATAGTATTAAGAAAAAGCAATGATTTTATTCTTAATTATAATTCATGCCTTAAAACCTGGAAAAAAATATCAAAACATTAATAAAGCAAGTTTCAGAAAGTGAAACACAAAGTGATTTGGTTTACTTCTAATTTTTAGTTTTTCAAAATTTCTTTAAAAACATTAACAAGTATTAAATTTGCATGATTAGGAATAAAGGCATTATATGTGTGAATCAAGAGATGCCAAGGAAGATAGTCACTCAAATGATAACACGATACATGTGACAAGTGATTTTTGGAGAATTTTAACTTTATGTATTATTTGAATCACTTTTTCCAATAAGCATACCATTTCACAACATTAAAACTGTATTTTGAAATATCAGTAAGAGGCCAAGAACAGTGGCTCACACCTGTCATCCCAGCCTTGGTAGGCTGAGGCGGGCAGATCACCTGAGTTTGGGAGCTTGAGAACAACCTGACCTACATGGAGAAACCCCGTCTCTACTAAAAATACAAAATTAGCCGGGCGTGGTGGCTCATGCCTGTAATCCCAGCTACTTGGGACACTGAGGCAGAAGAATTGCTTGAACTCGGGAGGCAGAGGTTGCACTGAGCCAAGATTGCGCCACTGCACTCTAGCCTGGGCAACAAGAGCAAAACTCTGCCTCAAAATTAAAAAAAAAAAAAGTATCAGTAAGAAAAGGGAAATCATAAACATAAAGAACAAAGTAAAAGTAAAAATGACCTAAGATAAATGGACAAATTCCAAGAAAAATGTAACTTGACAAATTAGACCAAGGGAGAAAAACAAGAAAAACCTGAGTACTCCCATAACTAATCATTTTTAATGTTTTAAGTTTCCCCCACAGAGAAAGTACCAGTCTCAGTAGATTAACAGGTGAGTCTACTGAACTTGCAAGAACCAAACCAAAACAAAAAACAGCCCATCTTCTTCAAACTGATCCAGAGAAGAGGAAAAAGAGTAAGTAGGTAAGTAATATATGCAACTGATAAAACTTTGCCACCAAATGAATCTAGCAGTGAATTTAAAAATGTGATACATCTCAATCAAGTTGGACTCAACTCAGAAATTCAGGGTAATTTTTAACATAAAAAATCTACATGTGCAATTAACTACATCAACTGATTAAGCATTTAATAATATTCAATACTCTTTTCTGTTTTTTAAAAACCCTATTAGCAACTCCAATAAAATTTTACTTAACCAGAAAACATGTCCTCTATTATCACCTGTATTCAGCACTATATAGTAAGAGAAAGCAAGAAATGTATAACAAGAAAAAGAATTATAAATTGTAGATGGAAAAGAAGCAAAATTGTCATTGTTCATGGATGGTATGATTATCCATAGAAAACCAAAGGTTTTAAAGGTTTATAAGAATCAGTAAGATTTGTGAAAGGTTAGCAAATATCAACTCAAATGTACTAATATCAAATGCATTTCTCTATGCCAGTAGCAATCTGATAAATGAGATTTAAAAGATACTATTTATAATAGCAACAAAAACATAAGGTACTTAGGAAAAATATTTTCCTTTATTGATAAACAATTCATAAGACCTAAATTAATATAGAGAATACCACATTTATGGATAGGAAAAGTTATAGTAGAGATGTCTGCTCTTTATAAAGATTCATTATAATCCCAACCACAATCTAACATGATGAGCTCACAAAATTTATATGAAAGAACAAAGATCCAAATATATCCAATACTCTTTTGAAGACTACGGTAGGGGAACCTATCCACCTATCTAGACTTTGTTTAGGACAAAATGATATACAAGTGAAGAAATAGACAAACTGACCAAAGTGACTAGCAAGCTTAGGAAAGACGCACTCTTATGTAAAAACTACAGTGCGGCAGACTATTGAGGATGAAGGGTTATTCAGTAAATGTTGCAGAAAAGCCTATTATCCACATGAAGAAAAAAATTTGCATCCCCACTTGATTAAACTCTAAGATGTTAAAGTCATAAAAGGCAAATATTAAAGCATTTAGAATAAAACACAGGAAGGGTAGGTGTCTTTAAACTGGAACCAAAATTACAAATCATAAAAAAAAACTTTCAGTTAAACTAAGATGAGGACCACCTGTTCATCAAAAAAAAAATGATGAAATCAAAAATGCAATGTGATATCCAGGACTAGGTCCCGGACCAGGAAGAGAACATTGGTGGAAAAATTGGTGAAATCTAAATAAAGCCTGTAATTTAATTACTAATAATATGCCAATTGTTAATTTCTTAGTTCTTACAAACATATCATGGCTACAAAAGATGATACTATTAAGAGAAAACTGGGTACAAGGCACATGGAAAATTAAGACCATTATTTTATACTTGCTAGTTTGGCAGTAAGTGTTGGTGAGGACATGGATCATTGAGAACTCACACACATTTATTAATTTTTCATTGGTCCAATCACTTTAGCAAAAATCTGACACTACTATCTTGTAAAAGTGAACATTCACATACTCTCTGATCAAAAAATTCCACTCCTAGGTTTATACTTTAGGAGACTTCTCAGCGAGGCATGGTGGCTCATGCCTGTAATCCCAGCACTTTGAAAGGCCAAGATGGGTGTATCACCTGCAGTCAGGAGTTCAAGACCAGGCTTGCCAACGTGGCAGAACCCTGTCTCTACTAAAAACACAAAAATTAATCCAGGCGTGGTGACACATGCCTGTAGTCCCAGCTACTTGGGAGGTTGAGGCAGGAGAATCACTTAAACCTGACAGG